CCATAAACCTCAAAGATTAGTCTTCTCCGTCTCCTGTGAAGGTCACACTAAGCAACACCAAAGCCTCAGAACCTGACCACCTAATCAAAACCTTGAAATTCCCCAAATCCTCAGAACCTGACCACCTAATCAAAACCTTGAAATTCCCCACACTGCTTGTTGGTCAAAACCCTAGAAAAACCCAAATCAGTTGTCTGGTAACTCAAATTGATTGTGTTCTTGGGTGCACATTTCCAAAAGATTCTGAAACACAAAACAGGCTGCCGCACAGCTCCTCTTTGCCGATGTTATAAAGGCGCTGAAACCTAAAATCACTCTATTGAATATTATTCATGGTTATGGGTGGTGGCAGTTGATTAAATGGAGAGTGTAATAGGCTTTTGATTCAGTTGTGTTTGACTTAAAGGAGAGTAGACGAATACTCTTGGATGGCCCAAAAAAATATGGGATGAATACTCTGAAATAGAAGGACTAGTTGTTTAAAGTGGTGTTTCAGTGTTTCCTGTTTCTGTGCTGCTGGACTCAGAACCTTTGGACTAATTTTGTGATTGCATTTCTTTTTTGTTTTACATAGGCAACGTCAAAGCGTTCTGTCAGTGCATGTGAAAAATGTGGAGAAGAATTTGAATCCAGGTTTGTACACTAGATATCTTGTAAACAATTTTCTTATAAAAAAATAATTTTTACCGCCTTTAAATTACCATTCCCCGCAATTTTTACCACATCAATCTCAGTGGTGCATATATAAAAATGCATGTGGCCTTCAACATAGAATTACCCTATAAATTTGAAGCGTGGTTTTCAGTCTAGAGCGTTCTGTCTGTGTGTTTGTATCTACACATATTTTATTTTTCATATCTTATTCAAACTCATGACATCGCACCCCTTTGTGCTCTTAAAGCTGATTCATATGTGAACCAGATCACCACTCTAGACTATTTATCCCTTTGTCTCAAGATCATACTTTATGGAAAGTTGTGCCAAATTTTGACCATTAATTTTTCTTAACAAATTTAAAATTTGATATAATTTTTATCTTGTTACCTTTTAAATGAAATGTTTTGTAGTTTGGAAATTTTGTAGTTTTTTTAGAATGTATGTTGAGTGAATTAATGGTCAGAGTTGTAAACAATTTTTTTGTAAAGGCTCAAGATGTTGAGAGAGAGGGAGTAGTATATACGCAATGTTTTTAATAGTTTAGTATATGAACTAGTAAACTACAAAAATGTCTATATTGCAGAACATATTACTGCCTCTATCCCATGAAAAGAGTCTTGTTTTAGAAAAAGTTTTCACCAAACATGAAGTCCGAACAACTGTTGTTTGTTACATTCAGTTAATAATGATTTGCAATAGTGGTGCTTCAATAAAACTTGAAAGTCATCTTGTTTGTCAATAACTTAGGCCTTTTGAAAAGGCTTTCTAATGGCAACGTTTAACCTTAGCATTTTCAAAGTCAATTTGATCTGTTAAATAGCGCTGATTGAAAATGTTGTTTCCGAAAGAGACCTTTGTCAAACAAGACCCTTTGCATGGGACATAGATAGTGTCTCACAAACCAATATTGATACAATTAGTCACATAACTTTGCCAACATATTTTTCTACCACAAAAAACCCAACTTAGGATAAAAGATGTTAAATTTCACCTCATCAGATATGCTTTTAATAAAAAAAACAGTATGCTAAATGCTCTGTAAGTTCAATACATCTGAAAATATAACATTGGAGAAATATGATTATAGATACAACTGCCTTTCATCTTGTGGTTGGTTCTATTTCCTTGTTTGGATACCGGTGTTATTACGTGCTCTTTCACCTATTTGTCTCCCTGCACAACAGGAATAAATTGCACAATCATTTGGGAGAGAGTGGACATTCCTCAATCAAGTCAAGATAATTAATGCACACCATCCAACCGTTGATGCTTGCATGGATTTTTGGCCCTTTTGGATCTTCTAGTTGAACAGAGAAGCCCCTTGATTTTGAAGTTAAAGTATAAGTATATTCTTTGTATTTTTACCAACTTACTCCCTATCGTATATAAAGTATATTCTTCGTACTTTTACAAACTTACTCCCTATCGTATATAAAGTATATTCTTCGTATGTTTTCTTATGCATGATGCAATGTGGTATTTGGTCTTCTTCAACCCACCAGTGCACTTGTTTAAATCAATTCTTACATTTTTATTACTCTCTCCGCCTCCCGTTCTGCTTTGCTAGCCTTTTTTAGCGCGGAGATTAGGTTGGAAATTTGTGTGTAGTTGAGGAATATTAACCCACAAATTACTTGATGATGTGTTTGGTTGGGGATACCAAATGGAAAAGAAGGGGAGGGTGGGTGATGGGGATTTGAATATGGACTTCATATATGGGCACATATATGCTAAGTCTGACCAAAGTGTCATTTGGATGAGGATTTTGGGCTATTCTTGACCTTTACAAGAAGTGGTATAATCATAGTGTTCTTTTTTCTCCAAATATGAATGATTTAAACATGGGATATCTTATTTCGACCCCAAGTTTGACATTACTCTTTTTTACACACATTCTTAGGCACATAAAAGTTGCAAGTGCCAATGGTGTCAAACTTGAGGCAAAAAACAGGGTGCTCTAAGCATGACTGAATTTGAAAATATATGTAATGGTTAAAAAATATTTGTATAACACACCATATACAAATATTTATATAAATTCTGGAGTAATACTCCCTCTGTCCCATTTTAACTTGCCTATTTTCCTTTTTTCTCCGTCCCAAAATAAATTGCCTGTTAGTTGTTTTCGTAAATTTTTAAAAATAAAATACCTTAACTATCCCTAAAATAAGTCACTTTTTTTCATCTTATCTTCTCATTCATCATCACCTTTCTTAAAAAGTAATGACAATTTTGGAAAATCAACTTTATTTTTTATTTTCCTTAAATATGTCCTAAATTAAAACATGCGATTTAAATTGGGACGAAGGAGTAACATTAGTACAACGACCTTATAAATTATGGAGTGTATATGAAGTAAAGAAAATGTCTGTGTGCATGAGAAATTAGGAACACGTGTTTTAGAAAAAAAAGATAAAGGCAGTAAGGCTAAGAACACTTAAAAAGAAGAAGAATACATGATTACAAGAATAATACATCTGTTAAAATGCTAGCGCCTTGTTTGGCATCAACGTTAGATATTAGTGTTATTATTTTGAAAAAGACTATCTAGCGGTTGAATTTAGCATTAACGTTTTCAGAATTAACATACACCATTAATTTTTTTTCAAAATGCCAATGCTAATAAAAAATGTGGTTTCCAAACAAGACTTAAATGCATCTCATCAATTAAATACATCTTGTGATGCATAATTATGTGAGTACAATATTACTTAAAAATGTTAAAACTTTTTTAAATTATATAACAACATTATATATAATCCTTTTAACGATCCATTTTCCTTTTATTACTTTTCAAAAACAAAGATTTATATAAATCTTACTCCACTAATAAATGTGCCGTGCATCCTTATTAAACAACTTTTATTTCAAAAAAGCCATCATATCTAATAGTTAAAAAATATTTGTGTAACGCATACCATATACAAAGTTTTTTATTAAAAATTAAATTATATAAAATTATATTCTAATTCAAAATATAGTTTTATCTAAATGTTAAGAAATTTTAGAATATGTATGAGTATGTGTGAATCACGATACTAAATATGTTTTAGAAAATAGTTGAGTAAAATTAGTGTGGGTAAGTTAAGTTTTTTGGGGGAGTGGACTAGGGGTGGGGAAGATTCTAGAAAATGTTGTCCCGACCTGAAATATTTCGGTCCCGTCCATATAATGTTTCATTTTTGTTAGGGATGATAAAATTTTATCGTAAACCCGTTCTGAACCATTTTAAAATGGGACAGGATCAAGACACAAAAATATTTTCCCGTTCTGTCACGTCCCGTTGTCCCTTATATATATATATATATATATATATATATATATATATATATATATAAGTTGGTTCAAATGAGAATAGAATCTAATGAAAGAAGTAGNCACAAATGATCATCGACAAAATGTTTCGAAGACAAGAAACATGTCCTGCATTTCGTTTTGCATATGATGTTGATGAAACGGACCAACTTACCCGACTATTTTGGTGCGATCCCGTTGCTAGGAAAAACTGGGCTCTGTTTGGGGACGTTCTCTCTTTCGATGCTACGTATGAGACTAACAGGTGTGCTTACATGTATAGCTTTTTTGTAACACCAATCATTTTATGACAAAGCCAATTTGAATACAATTTTAATCCAATCACACTTTGTTCTTTAAAATGATAGGTACAACATGGTGTTCACTCCATTCACAGGCGTGGATAATCACCAGAAGTGTGTTACATTTGGAGCTGGTTTACTCTGCAACGAAGACATAGAATCCTATACTTGGATCTTTCGCCAATTTCAGGATGCAATGGACCATGATCCACAGTGCATCATAACAGACCAAGATCCCTCATTGACGACTGCTATCAGCGAAGTTTTCCCACAGACAACACACAGTTATTGCATGTGGCATATTACTAAAAAAGTAGGGAAAAAAGTGGGGGAACCGCTAAACAAGGATTCTGTCTTTCTCACACAATTGAATGACGTTATCTGGAGCCATTATCTAGACCCACGCGATTTTGAGCACAAATGGAATGAGGTAATGCATAATTACAATCTGGTGAATCACAAATGGTTTGTTAAGTTGTTTAACATTCGCCAAACGTGGATCCCAGCATATTTTAGAGACCAATTCATGGCTGGTTTACTACGAACAACTTCACGATCTGAAAGTGAGAACAACTTCTTCGGGGAGTTCTCTAACCCCCATTTCAGTCTCGTAGAGTTCTCGATGCAGTTTGAAAGTGCCATGGATGCACAACGCCACAGGAATGCTAAGTTAAATGCAGATTCTGAATCCTGCATTCCTGTGTTCAAGACTCCGTTGCCAATTGAGAGGCATGCCGCTGCCATATATACGTTGTCAGTATTTTATGATGTGCAAAAAGAGATTTGTGCTGCATGTTTCTCGTGTTTTAGCACACATGTTGAGAACATCGATGATAAGCTGCACTACACGATTAAGGACAATAGAGGTATGACGTTCTCAGTTATGTACTCCGCAGATAATTCATACGCATCATGTTCATGCAAGCATTATCAGCGCGTTGGGCTTCTCTGTAGGCATATATTTGTTGTTCTTATAGCAATGGGATGTCCCACTATTCCTGAAAATTACGTTACAAAGCGATGGTGTAAGATTGACATAGCAAAACGTTATCTTGGATCTGTCTCGTGTGGCATTGAAGGGGATTCAAATCAAGAGAATACTAGATGGAAGATAAACCATTTGTGGGCTAACATCCATGCGTGTGTTGCACTTGCGGAGAATGATTCTGAGTTGTTAGATGCATTTACCCAAGTTATTAAAACACAGAAACAAAACCTCGAGAGATCGGCCTATTCCGGAGATTCAGAACCAGAAAAGAACAAGATTTTTGAATCTTACTATGGCACATCGGCACCATCCGAGATTCGTGTTTTACCTCCTGAGAAGGTGCATAACAAGGGCAGTGGAAAACGCATCAAAAGTGCCGTAGAAATAAGCATGGAGCAGTCCAAAAAACAAAAGAGAGTATGCCGAACATGCAAAGAAATTGGTTACCACGACAGTCGAAACTGCCCAATGAATAAGGGGCTATGATAATCTTATTTCTGGATGCAACATTGTACCACTTTATTTTTTTCTCTAAATCTCCATGTACTCCTTCATCTTCATGCACATCTCACTACATTTTACATTTCTCACAGTTATTAGCGCATTAACCCATCATTACTATATCATAATTCGCCATTCTCAATACATACACCTGGCTTTGCAAATACTCCCCCTACAACCTTTTGACATGATAATGACACACAACAAATTCAACTATCTTTGTGTATCAGGGCACTGCTTAATGTATATACACGTTATGTGATCACATATTTACCAAATATATATTGCATAATGTAATCGGCATGTATAAATGTCTCATTCAACAAAATCATCTGCTTCTTAGAATACCCCAGTAAACATATCA